CTGATATCTTATTATATATATTCATCTCTCTCTCGCTTTAAGAACACAGAGATAGTGTTATGGGATCTAAAGCTGCAACGAATATACATATATATAGCAATAATAAATGTGTCTATATATGTATAATGGTGTAAGAATATATATGGAATCAACGGTGACACGCGTCGAATAGCCATTGCAATTATTGTTTGATCGTTCGTAGTTCAGCCTCTATCTTCTGTACAGTAATAACCCACTGAGCAATTGGCCTTGTGTATCTATCTGTCACATGTTTTGTGTGCTTGAAACCCTAAACCCCATCATGTTTTTGTTGCCTTATTCTTGTCATTATCCGCAACTTGGATGGATACACACGTTTTTTAAATTATATTTATGTGTAAAAATGCGAAAAGCTAGTACCACCTACTTGCCACACATGTATATTTTGGGAAATCATATATATATATATATATATATTATATCACAGAAATACGGACCCATTAGAAATAGTATAGCTATTACAAATCAAGAGGTCACTTGTATATGCATTTAAATGGAATGGGTAATGGTGAAATATACAATCTTATAAAGATTTTCTTTTAATAATCCGAAAAACAGCAAATATATATATATACACACACTAATACACATGGTAATTAGAAAAAAGAAAGAATGAATGATCTGGTGATAAGAAAACAAATAAAATATGCCTTTATGAAGATGGAAATTTGTTTATTGTTATTTTAATTAAAATGTAAAGTAGTGTATATATATAGTCGCATACAAATCGACTCTGATATAAAAATATAATGGGTATGCTTTTAAAAATTGAAAAATCGAATTTGGATGGAATAAAAAAATTAAAAAATAGATTTTTTTTTGTTAAAATAAAAAGCTAATATATTTCTTTTCAGATAGAGAAAAATAATTAAAACCGACACCCAAGTTCGGTTCGAATGCGAGTACGATTATTTTATGTTCGAGTTCAGTCAATTGACTAAAGTAACTTTGAACTTTTGTAAAAACTACAGTATTACCCCTTTAGGGTTTTTTTTACTCGAAACAAAACGGCTCACGCCCTTTCACCTTCACTCTTTCTCAGTAACTCGCCTCGCGCTCTCACTGCTCTCACCTCTTTGATTCTACCGCCTCAACTCGACTCGACTCGACTCGACTCGGCCTCTCGTCTCTCATTCTCAGGACAGAAACCTCGGCGATTGAAACAAGGTACGTCGACAAATCACTGAGCTTGCAGAACTTATCTCTGTGTTTTTGGGTTTGGGGTTTCTGTCGGAGTACTTTATGACATGGGTTTTTCCGGAGTAGTTTTCTGCGTTCTTCCTCGGCTGATTAGTAGCTCGGGAGATTGCATTTTTCATTCTAATCTACAGATATCCTCCGTGTTTTGCTCGAGTTCTATAGATATTTGGGCTGAATATTGTTGGTGTGTGATGATTTCTGGAATCTTGTGTCGTGTATTAGTTGTTTTGTTCGAGTGAGTACGAGTATGGGTTTGGTTATTTGTTCCTGGGTTAGTGTAGTCGTACGGTTGATCGTTAGTTCTGTTCCAGTTCTGGTTCCACACTTGTTTCCATTCTGGTTCATTTCTTACATGTGAATGTAGGCATGCAAGCATCTATGTTTTTATTCTCTCTTGTAAGTTTTTAATTAGTATCTTTTTCTCCTTTCTTATTTAGATGTCTTTTGATGGCGAGAATCCCGATAGCCTTCCACCTCAACCAGTAGATTCGATGGATGATTCAGCAGATGAAGACATGGATGATCCTATAGATGAAGACACATCTGCTGATAAAGAGGTACCGATGCTTAGCACCTTTGGTACTTGGTATCGTTCCAAGAGAGCAAGAGAAGACAGTATATGCGGCGACTTTGATCAGGATGCTTCTCAAAAGGCATTGGCGAAGATGATCATAATTGATGGATTGCCGTTTAAGTTCGTCGAAAATGTAGGGTTTCGACAATCTATGCCTGTGCTTCAACCTCGTTTTGTTATTCCGCCATGGAACACAGTTGCTAGAGATTGCATGGATCTATATATTCTGGAAAAGAATAAGTTACGAGAATTGTTTAAGAAACACCAAGGGAGTGTTTCTCTCACTGTGAGTATTTGGACGTCGAAGCAAAATACTAACTACATGTGTTTAACCGCCCACTTTGTTGATGATGATTGGAAGTTGCATAGAAAGATCATCAACTTTTGCCCAATACCTGATGATAATGACGGTGAAACAATTGGTAAGATGGTGGAAAAGTGTTTGCTTCATTGGAGAATCAACAAAGTTTTCACTGTCACGGTTGACAATGCAAGGTCCGATGATCTATGGATAGAGTACTTGGACAGAAAGTTTAAATCATGGGGAACAAGTTTTCTCGAAGTTGAATTTCTGCAGATGAGGTGTGGTGCTCACATTTTGGGGTTGGTTGTTAAAGACGGTTTCCAGGAGATACATGAATCAATTATCCGAATCCGTGCTGCTGTTCGTTATGTGAGGTCTTCTTCAAGTAGGATTATAAGGTTTAGAGAATGTCTGGAACATCAAAGGCTTTCTACCACAGCCGGTCTCTGTTTAGATATGGAAGCTAGGTGGAGTACTACATACTTGATGTTGGAATCAGCATTAAAATCTAGGCCAGGTTTCGATATGCTTTTGTTTGAAGATGATGAATATGTCGAAGACCTTACAGAGAATGGGTTAGGTCCACCGAGGGATGATGATTGGACTTGTGTACAGTCTTTCTTACCGATCTTGAAGTTTTTTTATGATACCACTTTGAAAATCTCTGGATCACGATATGTTACCGGGAATGACTACATGGAGGCATTTGGTGCGTGGTGGTACATTGAACAGATGGTTTCTTGTGATGAATCTGATGAAAGTCAAAGGTCTATGGCTAAGAGAATGCAGAAAATCTTTGAAAAGTATTGGCACTCTGATGTGAATGTGATTACTTATCTAGCATGTGTTCTTGATCCCCGATACAGGTTGGATTTTGTGAGCTGGATGATCCGTGATAGTTATAATGATAATGATAAAGCTGAAGAAGTGATTGGGAAGCTTAAGAGTGTTTTGGAGAAGTTGTTTAAGTATTATGAGTCCATTTCATCTAATGACGCAGAATCATCTGGTAGTCAAGTTGGATCAAGGGTTAAGTACGATGCGTACGGTAAGCCGATCATAGATGATACCTGTATGCGCGTTGCGTTTCGGGAATATTTGAAAAGTAGAGAAAAGGGGAGGAAGAATGAGTTGGAATCTTATTTGTCGGATGTATGTGAGACGGTAAGGGATGAGAGCTTTGATGTTCTATACTGGTGGAAAGTAACCGGTGCCAAGTATCCTGTTCTTTCTCGAATAGCAAAGGATGTTTTGGCTATACCTGTGTCAACAGTTTCTTCTGAACATGCTTTTAACACGGATGATCGTGTTCTAGACCAATTTCGCAGTTCTCTAACACCGCAACTAGTTGAAGCTCTTGTTTGTACTCAAGATTGGATTCGAGAAGATTATGAAACGGTAACAATTGAAAAAACATTGGAGGATCTCGAAAAAATGGAGGAAGGTATGAATATGATTCATTTTAAAGTCTCTTTATATATATATATATATATATATTTTTTGATGAATGTTTTAAAGCATTTGAACTCACAAGTTATTTCACTTTTGTATAGATATACAACCTAAGATGACGGCTGGTGGAAGTTCTTCATCATTCGAAAAGGGGTATTCAACGGAATGAGCATATACGCTAAATCTCTCATTCTGTTCTTGTTTTTCGGGTTTATGTTTTGCTCATCTTGTGTTCTATATATGCTTGGTCGGATCCTAAAGCGTTTTAACCTTTAATATCGTTTTATAGGTAGTCCTATATGTATCTGCTTCACTCCCAAAGTCTGGGAAGGTAATCATGTTTTGTGGGCAAATGGATGTATGGTGGCATTTTTTTGGGATATGAAGATCTTTCTGTTGTTGAATTGGATAGACTTTGGCTGGGTTTTGTACGGATTTGATCTTTTGCTCAGATGATCTTTTCCCACAGTAGGGGTGGCCAATTCGGGTTCGGATCGGTTTGATTTCGATTTTTTGTTGTAAAAAATTTATTTTTCAAAAAAATTATCGTTTTTTTCGGTTATTTTTTTAATCGGTTTGATTCAATTTCGGTTTTTTCAGGTTTAGAGAAATTAGAACCGTTCACTTTTTTTATATATGTGTTCGGTTTAATTCGGTTATTCTATTAATAATCAAAATGATCACACAGTTTTCTTTTTCCTTCTACAAATCATCATCCTTTGATAAATAGACTGCCATTCTATTTTTTTTATAATCAAATAAATAATGATATTTTAGAAATTGCATTAAACAAAATATAGGTTGCATCATTGCACGGTAAAAAGAAAATGTATATATCGAGATGTAGATCTTCCATTTTATTTGAATTTGAGGTTTTAAAATTTTATTTTTCATTGTTACCATATTTTAAATCGAATATGGATATTTAAATATCCACATTTTTCCGGATATTTGAAACTGCGGATATTCAAAATATATGGATCGGATACGAATAGTAAAATTATATATTTTTATAAATCGGATATGAATACAGATATCTAAAAAATATCGGATATCTTATTTATGTCGATCTTTACCGGTATGTTTTGGTAAATTTTTCCATTATTTTATTCTCTCCAAATCTACATGAATGAAACTAGCTTAGTAATATTGAATATATATGTATCATTTTTACTAATTTTAATCTAAAGTATATAAATAAGAATGTGTTTGTATATATATATATATATTGTAATAGAACTAAATTAGTGTTCTCTATTTTTTTTATTAACTATTAATATTAATATTTAGGTAATAAATTTTTCTAGGTCAATTATTTGTATTTAAATTTTGATGACGAAGCAATAATATTGATCAGGTATTCATATTTAATAATTGTTTCACGTTATGTTGCTTCGTTGATAAATTAAATAGTAATAATCAGTGGATTGAATCTAAAGTGAATGAACGAGACGAGCTTACTTGATGGCGATTATGATATATATATATTTATCTCAAACGTGATATAGAATTTAATGTAACGCTTCGGAATTTGATATTAACGAAATCTTTAATATTGATATCCAATCCAAATAGATTCTCATAATTAGAAAATAACTTCGATATTAGTTTTCATCAACTCTATTGAAATTTTATTAATTTAGTTTAATAAAAATAATAACAAATTGAATTACTTATGTCAAATTTAATTTAAATATTATTTGTTGAGATGTATAATTTGGAAAAAGAAAATAAAAATTAATTGTTTTGCTCCTCTACCTAAATAAATCTAATTGTGTTTCATTTTATAAAGCGGAAAGATTAGCGTAAAAAAGGACAAAACAGCTAAACCGAGCTTGCATTCCCTCGTGACTGCAACTACTCTTTCTGTTTTTTTTTTCTTTCCTTTTTTCCTATTTTTAATATTTATTATTTATTTTTAACATAACTAAATCCATATTAGGAGTGCTGGAAAACCATTTTTTTCCAAAATAAAATAAATTATAAACATTTATTAGAAGGGGAAAATACATTGACGACATGACGGAAAAGTCGCTATCCTGAACGGCAGCGTTTAAAGGATCTTTGATTTCAGTTATATTCCGAGAAAATATAAAATGACGAAAATGCCCATCATTCGGACAATTTAAATCCGTGGTCCGAGATTTCATCCTAAAAGCGAAGAGCGAACCATCACGAGCCATAGACAGACGCGTCGAGTCGACTCACTTAACCCGAACGCGTCTCTCCTCGCTCTCTCTCTCTCTCTCGACGCCTCCAGAGTTCAAGAAAAGCAAGAAGGAAAGAATCGTATAATCTTTCTCCCCCTCTCTACTTTAATGATTTTCCCTCACTTTCTCGGATTCCAAACATGCTTACAGAGATTTCGAAATTAGGAAAAAGAAAACGTATTTTTATCGGATAACGGAGTAAGCGAAGGGAGGATCTGGGTCGTCGGTGGAGGTAGATGTCGCTGGAGAATTCGATGGCGGATAGTCGTCGGCTTTCTTCTTCATCGTCCTCTTCTTCGTCGAGTTCGGAACGAGTTTCGGTGAAGATCGAGCGGGAGATTGGAGTCGGTAATTGCATCAATGGTTCTGAACAGTTGGAGAGCAAAGCGGCAACTGTTGCTTCGGACAACGGTGTGGCTGAATCTTCAGGTTTGTCTGCTGTTGCCCATTTTGTGTTTGTTTCTGTTTGTACTTGGGTTTGGTTTCTCGGTGTTCTTGAAGGAAGTTTGGTAGAAATGATTTTGGTTTACTGTCGATGCCTTTGGCTGGCGGCCGCGTATCCTGTTCTTGCGGCTGGATTAGGAATCAAATTCAAGATTTTGTCCATTTCCCGGTGACGATACTTCGATTCTGTTGAAGTTCATTTCTGGGCCGGAGGAGCTTTAGGAATAAAGAATTTGATTCATTGGATTAAGAACTCTGATCAGATGATGATTTCTACATATGGGAAACCGTTCATTTGATGTTTCAGATTCTGGTCCGAGAGGCATTGTCCGGGTGAGGACGTTGCCGGCAGAGAGTTCTTCATGCAGCGAGAAGGCGGAATCATCTTCGAGCAATCCTAAGTTGGATAAATCGAAGACCGAGAGACAAAGGGTTCCTCACATTCTTGCTGAGGATGCAGCAAAGATATTTGATGACAAAATCTCTGTCAACAAGAAGGTACGAGGTTGTTCTTAACTGTTTCCACAGTATTGGTGTTCAAATTCAGCATCTTACCCTATCTTGGTTACAAACTGACATATGTCTGCTTATATATTCCATTTATAGTTATTGTATGTAAATCATTCACTCCTGTCTAGACTCTTCTGATTGTTCCAGCTTTTTCAGGCATTGCTAGTCTCTGTTTTACCAAAATAGTATACAGAACTTCTCTGAACAATTTAGAATTGTTTTTCCCCGAATGTTCAATCTTTCTGAAATTTGCAATTTTTGCAGCTTAAATTACTGAACCGTATGGCTACCGTGAAAGATGATGGGACAGTCGAGTTTGAAGTTCCAGCAGACGTTGTTCCCAATGCTCTCGGGGTTAAACCCGAAGAGCCGGAAAACGGGCATGCTAACGAAGATTCTATTGATGGGGTTGACCTTCAGGACATTCCCCCCCTCCAAATTGTAATGCTTATTGTCGGGACACGAGGTGATGTTCAACCTTTCGTTGCCATAGGCAAACGCCTTCAGGTTGTCACATAATCTCCATTCGGGCACAATTTTTTTTCCTTTAAATGTGATTATGGTATATTGTTCTTCTAATCATTCATGCACATAAGATTATGATCTAGCAATTTAATAAGAATATGCAGTAGCCCAAAATAATTTTTTGAGGTTTTCTTATGCAGGAATATGGACATCGAGTTAGACTTGCAACACATGCAAATTTTAAGGAGTTTGTTTTGACTGCCGGATTGGAGTTCTATCCGCTAGGCGGTGATCCAAAAGTTCTAGCCGGTTGTATGTATCTTCCAAACATTCCCATCCTTTCGTCAATCATGCTCGGTTCCCTCATTTTTGTTTTCAGTTAATGTTTCATTTAACATTGTGGTGAACCTAGCTTAGCTTGAATTGAGTTTTCTGGCCGAAATGCTATCTTGTGTGCAGACATGGTTAAGAACAAAGGTTTTTTGCCGTCAGGACCTTCAGAGATTCCTATCCAACGAAATCAAATAAAGGAGATCATATACTCTCTGCTTCCAGCTTGTAAAGATCCTGATCCTGATTCTGGAATACCCTTCAAAGCCGATGCGATTATTGCCAATCCTCCAGCTTATGGTTAGTCTTTGCAACTGCTGAATAACTCGCTAGTTTCTGTGTATAACTTCGTTATCATCTCGGGATGTGCACCTTAGAGGGGACACAAGAATTAGATAGTGTAGAGCTCAACTCTGTTTAGAAGGTGTCTGGAAGAACTTACGTGTGTATGATTTATGTACCACTGTCTTGGATGTTTCGAGTTACTTCTTGTTGTAAATAATCTTTGGAAATGCCATCTTAGGACATACCCATGTGGCGGAAGCGCTGAGAATACCAATTCACATCTTTTTCACCATGCCATGGACGTAAGTAACTCTGGCTGAATTATTGTTTCCGTTACATTTTTGTTATCGGTCTTATGAGATTTGTAATAACGGTGATCCAGGCCAACTAGTGAGTTTCCCCACCCTTTGTCACGCGTTAAGCAGCCAGCAGGATACAGAGTGAGTCCTTGTCGATACAGAGATTACCGGATAGTATTTTGCTATTAAAAATTTGATTTTGCATCTAAGTAAATCTAATTTTTTTTCAATGTCGTACCAGCTCTCGTATCAGATTGTGGATTCATTGATATGGCTCGGGATAAGAGACATGATAAACGACCTTAGGAAAAAGAAGCTGAAGCTACGGCCTGTTACGTATCTCAGTGGCTCACAAGCCTCTGATTCTAATATACCTCATGGATACATGTGGAGCCCTCATCTTGTTCCTAAGCCGAAAGGTAGTTTATCAACCTTAGTTTATTCTGTTGATGTAAACACCATTTCTTCCATGGAAGCTTGCAAAGAAAGGGTCAGCTCCTTAAAGTTTTTTTTTTTTTATAAATAATTAAATAAATTGTTTTCGCAGATTGGGGACCGAAGATTGATGTAGTGGGATTTTGCTTCCTTGATCTTGCTTCGAATTATGAACCTCCTGCAGAACTTGTGGAATGGCTTGAAGCCGGTGACAAGCCAATTTATATCGGTTTCGGTAGTCTTGTGAGTTAGTTTTCACTGTTTTTTTTCCTTCATATCACGAATCAATCTCCTTTTATCAAGTAATGCAAACAAGTCGGAATTATGAGAAATACGAGGACTATACCTCGCAAAAGAACCTCTGAAGCACTTCATACATAATTATGAAAGATTCTCTCTTCTTGTCCTTTGTTGGGGTAGCCTGTTCAAGAACCAGAGAAGATGACCGAAATCATCGTGGAGGCGCTTCAAAGAACTAAACAGAGAGGAATCATCAATAAAGGATGGGGCGGCCTCGGAAACTGTAGGTCTAAATATATGTCTCATTCTCCATTTCTTACCTTTGTGTTTTTCCTGTCTGGTATAAGATATAAGAATGTTTACAGTGAAAGAGCCCAAGGACTTTGTGTACTTGTTGGATAATGTCCCACATGACTGGCTCTTCCCCAGATGCAAGGCTGTGGTAATGTTTTGTAACCTTATTCTCTTCACTGTCTTTGTTCCTAAGAACCCTTGTTTTTTTTTTCTTTCTGTCATGTTTCTTAGAACTGGTTTGTTGTTTGTCACACTGTCTCTTTTTTCCTTTCCTTGTTCACTTTTTAAGGTTCATCATGGTGGTGCTGGAACAACGGCTGCTGGTCTCAAAGCTGCGGTAACGGGCATTGTATTTTATTTTATTTTTTGCTTTTTTTAGGACGAATCCCGTCTTCTATAAGAGTCTTTTTTGTGCCTTCGTGTTGAATGCAGTGCCCGACCACCATCGTGCCTTTCTTCGGGGACCAACCCTTCTGGGGAGACAGAGTTCATGCCAGAGGAGTAGGGCCAGCCCCGATACCGGTGGACGAATTCTCCCTTCATAAGCTGGAAGGCGCGATAAACTTCATGCTTGACCCCAAGGCAAGTAAATATTCTCTGAGGAACTTAAGAAATCCCGGATCTTCCAGACAGTATGCCCGTAAATATCGATACATCGTTGTCTGAAATCGTATGTATGGACTGGTCCTGAATCCTGGATGTAAAATGGCTTGAATGGATAAATGTGGCAGGTGAAAAGCTCTGCGGAGGAACTGGCGAAGGCAATGGAGAACGAGGACGGAGTGAATGGAGCCGTGAAGGCGTTCTTCAGACATCTCCCGAGCAAGAACCCTAGCCTCCTGTCTGATCCAGCTCCCGACCATTCCAGCTTCCTCTCCATCAGAAGATGCTTTGGCTGTTCTTAAGAATCTCCTTGTATGCTCTCTCTCTCTCGGGTTCCCTCTTCTTTTCACTTCTTTTTTCCCTCCATTGAAATCTCATGCTCTCTCTCGAGAAGAACACTGATAATACAGAGCTTAGCTTAGGTTTTTTTTATGTTATGTATGGTTTTTTGTGTTTCTCTTTCTAATGGCAATGTTTTTTATCCATGTGCGCTGTTGTGTGGATTGGATATGGTTTGTTTAATTGTTTGTCCTTCCAGAGTTTAGTTGAAGGCTTTACAGGGCCATTGTCACTGGAGAATAAATGTGAATATTTTTTATTTTATTTTTATGATTTTCTAAGAAAATTTTCAATTTCATTTGTAAGTAAACATATTAACGAATTTGATTTAATGAGAATGTATATGATTTTTTTTAAATTGGGAAAGTAATTTTATCTTGTGTTAAATATGAATTGAATTAATAATGGTGGACACATTTATTATCTATTCTTCCAATTAATTCTTATTTATTATACAAAATAATCTCAAAATCTTAGATTAATATACAAAGTATACTAAATACACAGAAAATTTAAAATATTGTAAAAAAAAACTTTTTTGATAGAACATGGAGAAAAAAGATTATAAATTTTTCGGAAAAATGGCAAATAAATACATCAATTTGTTAATTTCTTATTCGTAAATACATGCATTTGTAATCTCCCAACAAAATACATCAATTCGCAATTTTCTGGCAAATTAGTACACAAACACTAACACCGTTAACTTTGTAACAGATTCCGGTGAACGGTGCTGACCTGACTCACCGGAACACCGTTAACTTTGTAACAGATCGGAAAAATGGCAAATAAATACATCAATTTGTTAATTTCTTATTCGTAAATACATGCATTTGTAATCTCCCAACAAAATACATCAATTCGCAATTTTCTGGCAAATTAGTACACAAACACTAACACCGTTAACTTTGTAACAGATTCCGGTGAACGGTGCTGACCTGACTCACCGGAACACCGTTAACTTTGTAACAGATTCCGGTGAACGGTGCTGACGTGGCTCGCCGGATTTTCCACGTCAGCGCCACATGTCAAACATTTTTCCACGTCATTAAAAAAATTAAAATTAAAATTAAATTCATTTAAAATAAAAATAATTTAAAAATAATTTTTTAAAAAAAAATAAAACTTTAAATTTCAAAACTAAAATGTATATATACATATATACATAAATTTACACAAATATATATAAACATATATACACATATAAATATGTATATATATATATATTTTTTTGTAAATTGATATATATATATATATATACATATTTTAGTTTGTAAACATATATACACACATAAAATATATATACATATACATATATGTATATGTATTTTATGTGTGTATATATGTTTACAAAAATATATATTTTATATATATGTATATATATTTCATGTGTGTATATATGTTTACAAACTAAAATATGTATATATATATATATTTTTATTTATGTGTGTATATATGTTTATATATATTTGTGTAAATTTATGTATATATGTGTATATATTTTAGTTTTGAAATTTAAAGTTTTATTTTTTTTAATATTTCTTTTTAAATTTTAATTTTGAATTTTTTGAATTTAATTTAAAATTTATTTTTTCAAATTTGTAATTTTATAATTTTTATAAATTTTAAATTTTAATTATTTTAAAATTATTTTAAAATTATTTTTATTTTAAATAAAGTTAATTTTAATTTCAATTTTGTAATGACGTGGAAAAATGTTTGACATGTGGTGCTAACGTGGAAAATCCGGCGAGTCACGTCAACACCGTTCATCGGAATCTGTTACAAAGTTAACGGTGTTAGTGTCTGTGTACTAATTTGCCAGAAAATTGCGAATTGATGTATTTTGTTGGGAGATTACAAGTTGATGTATTTACGAGTAAGAAATTAACAAATTGATATATTTATTTGCCATTTTCCCTAATTTTTTCGAAAAACAAATCATCTGTTCTACCAATTAATTCTTATTTATTATACAAATAATACAAACATCATCATTTTTCAATTTGAAATTTCACCAGAAATCCAGGCAAGAGCAGGAGCCATCCTTGAAATGGTGAAAGCGTTTCCTGTCCCTTACGGTGATATGTCTCCCGTAGACCTTCGAGATCAGTTTAAATGACGAGTGGCAGTCTTCACAGATGCGTAGGTTCTTCACAATCCGTAACGAAGCGCCTGCCTTTGCGCTGATCAACCCGAACGCCACGGCAATCCTCTCGCTGTGGTGATACAGAGCATTCTCCTTGTCTTCCTCGTCCAAGTTCAGAAGAACCTGTGTGGTGATCGGTCTGTACCCGACCGATCGCAACTTCTCCGAGATTTCTAGAAGCATCGAGCGGATTTCCTCGGATCTCGGGTGGGATTCATCTTCCACGAGAAACTCGTGCACCGCGCCATCGATGTCGATCCAGCTTGACCCGGGATCTTTTCTTATATCCATCTCCTTCATTCTCACCCTCATGTCCGAAACCGCCGCCCAATTCCCCCGAGAGGCGTACATGTTCGATAACGCGACGTAAGCTCCGCTGTCATGAGGCGCCATTTCCATCAGAGCTCCGGCTACTCGCTCTCCCATCTCGATATTCCCGTGAATCTTGCAGGCACCGAGGAGGGCTTTCCATATAACGTCGTCTGGTTTCATGGGCATGTTCAGTATAAGCTCCTCGGCTTCTTTTAGATGACCTGAACGACCTAATAGATCGACCATACATCCGTAATGTTCGATTCTTGGCTCCAATCCCGAAACATTCAGCATGTGGCTGAAAAATCTCCTGCCTTGTTCTACAAACCCGGCATGGCTACAAGCTGTCAGCAGGCCAATGTAGACAACATCACTGGGTCGAACACTTGCTTCCTCCATTTCGTGGAAACAGTCGATAGCTTCGTTTGCTTGGCCGTGCATAGCGAATCCATTGATCATGGCGCTCCAAGTAATCGCGTTCTTTCGAGGTAATCTCTCGAATACATGAACCGCTTTCTCGATGATTCCGCACTTTGAGTACATGTCGATCAAAGCAGAGCCTAGTACATCGTCGATCTCAATCCCGTTCTTCTCTGCGTATAAATGTATCCACTCTCCTAGTTCTAGTGATCCGAGTCGTGAGATGGCAGGAAGAACACTGAGTAAAGTAACGTAATTTGGACGAATTTCTCCGCTCTGCATCTCCTGGAAAATCTCTACGGCTTCCTTGAGGAACCCATTTTGCGAATAACCCGATATCATAGTGTTCCAAGAAACAACGCTTCTTTGACGCATTTTATCGAACAGCATTCTTGCAGCCTTGAAATCTCCAAGTCTTACGTATCCATCGATCATCACATTCCACAAAACCACCTCACCGTCTCGCCTCCTTTTATCCGTCACCATATCACCATGGCGATCCTGTTCTATGATGTTCTTATAGAACAGTACGCGAGCATCCTTCATCAGATCACACATCACATACATCCTAACGAGATTGCTCATCACGAACTCATCACCATCCAATCCGAATTTCAGCGCCAACCCATGAATTTGCTTACCTTCCCGAATCTTCCCAGTCTTCGCACACGCCTTCAGCACAGAAGGAAACGTGAAACGATTCGGTCCCACGAATACATGGCCGATCATCTCACAGAAGAGCGTAATTGCAGTGACCGCTTCGTCTTCGTCGCTCTCACTGAATCCCCTGATCATGGTGTTCCAGGAAAAACAATTGGGTTGTCGCATCTGCTTGAAAATCTTGTGGGCATACTCGAGATCTCGGTGAAAACGGTCGGAAGTGGCGCAGAAGCGGAGGATCTCAGCGGCGGCGAGAGTGTCGTTTATTTGCCCTGTTTTGATGAAGGCGGCGTGGACTTGAGCGAGGTCTCTCATGGTTCGGCACCTGGCGATCTGAGGAAAAAGCGAGGATGGGTGCGACGGAGAAGGAGCCGGCGCCGGAGAGCTTCCGCCGGCGGGGAAGAGAGTCTGAGTCAGATTCATAGAGAATCGAGTTCGTTACGTTGGAGGGAAACGGAAGAAATGGTTGATCGTGTGGCTCTTGGGTTACTAATCATACTAGCAAGAGATATTTGCCGATAAGACATAAGCCTCTAGATCATCTGGAGTCTTTAAGTCTAAACAGAAGAAACCCAGTGGGCCTGGACCGCTGGTTACTAAATAGGAAGTGTCAATCGGTTCGGTCCGGTCCTATACTTGGTTCGAGGGTTTCGAATTCGACCTCTTACCGGTCTGATTTTTTTTATCTATATAATCAACCACAAAGTCCATCTCTATGTATTTCGATCTTGAATCGGGAGGAATCGATTTGTTCAAATTGTTTTATAAAATTATTTTTTATTAATTTTTTTAAAAAAAAATATTAGGCTTTCGAATCAGTACAAAACTCGAATTGAATCCGACCGAAAATTCAATTTTTTATCGAAAAACTTAGATCTAAAACCCGTTATTTTTTTTATAGAACCGCGTTGGATTTCGAGTTTTGAGTCTAAATTGATCGGAATAAACCAATATAAAAATGAATAATAATTGTTTTTACATAATAATAATAATAATAATAATAATAATCAAATTAAAAATAATGAAATTTAGACAATTAAAACCCAAAATATCCGAACGATCTTCCAAACCATTGAATATTTTGGGCCTGCAATTATGGCCCATTATCACTTTTTTTTTTAATTAAAATGAAAAGAATAAAAGCAAATGGAAATGCACAAAGCTCGAAGCAAACAAATAATTAAAGATTAATCTTTTTTCTTCTTTAGCAAACAAAAAAGAAAGATAGGGTAATGCCATAGGGGACTCGTAATTAGGGCTTTGACAAAACAAAAGAAAAAAAAATTAAAATACTAAATAATAAATAAAAAATGGAATGCGTAAATTATATAGGATTCCATACGTGGGAAGCGTTCCAAGGTCATATGCCTAGAACTTTGGGCTAATATTATATCCATATATATTAATTTAATTTACTTTAATAATTAGACCACCTTGATTGTATACTTTTATTTGAATTCTAGGTTTGTGTCTGCCCACATTTGCTCTTAATGTTTTGTACTAACATGTTTGTTAAATTATTATAAATTACTTAGCTTAGCGGGAGAAATTAGTAACTATTTTCTATAATTTTTTTATTAAAAAAACGGAATATAAAAAAATTGAGACTTGAGTAGAAAAATGGGATTAATTCGAAATTAAGTGACCACTGTTTATTATCAATATCAAAATATGTAAAACTTAATTAAAATTTAATATTTGAGTAGATGTTAGTAACGATCGATCTAGGAAATAATTTTGTAAGGATTTTAGAGCATATCAAACCGAAAAATATCTTTAATTATATTACCAAATTAAAATTTCAAATTCTTATTATAGAATTGAATTTTTTTTAAAAAGAAATCTATCTTTAATCATAGCCTAAATGTACATATATATACACATCCACCTCTATGTATTGAAACTTTAATTATATATACTAATTAGGTGTATGATGTTGCATGTGTGTTGAATCTTGGTTAATGTGGACGCACCGATCACCTCTAACCAAGTAATAATTTTGGCCATACCAAACTCTTAGGGAACGGGAAAAGAGTTTTAAAAATAAATTAAACAATAAAAAAAAAGGAAAATATGTATAGTGGAAATTTTCACGCAAATTGAGGATAATGCACGGTCCACCTCTTTTATTATTGAATTTTTAATATACATTTGAGACCTTTTTTTTCAATAATGGTGTTGGGGAATATTTTTTTATGAACATGTGTTATAAAAAATATACTTTATATATTATATTTTTTAAATATGAAATTATAAAAAAATTATAATATATAGTGTGCATATATATATAGGTATTCTATAGTAATAGTTTTATAATATGTCAATTTTTTTATATATTTTTTAAATAGAACATATCATATGAAGTCTATAACATATTGAAAATTGGGTGCCAAGTTAGAAAATAAAAAGGTTTTTATTTAAATTAGTGAAAAAGAAAGAATCTTTAAGAGACATTAGGCTCAAGTCTCGAAAACAAACCAATCCTTAATTCTGACTAAATTGAGGAAAACAATGCAAACCCACATGGCTTTTCTCCTAATTAGCCTTGTATCTTAAGCTCTTAGTCATAGTATTTTAAATAATTCAGAAAATCGTATTTTAGTTCACTTTTTCAAAAATTATTAAAACCTATTTTATTTTGTTTCCGCAAATTTAATTCGTTAAAAATGCAATATTAGAATATATTTTGAACTATAATTATCATGGGAAAGGGTGAGTGTAAACAAGGTTAAGGGAAAATTAAAGATTATAAATAATCCTAATTAAACCCTGAGGCAAAGAGCGGAACCCCGAGGTGAAAGAAGATGGCAGGGCAATGAAGTCCTTACACTATCTTCTCTTGCTTGTCTCTAAAGAAAAACTTCCCTAAACCCTAAGAGAGAGAGAGAGAGAGAGAGAAACCCAAATCGATGCAGAAACGAGAAGGCTGGTTTTGGATTTGAGAGCCAGAGAAAATCTCGTTCTGCAAATGCCGATTCCGAGAAAATCCTTAACTCGTTCCTGTTTCACCTTCTTCTTCTTCTTCTTCTTCATAGTTTCCTCTGTTTTTGTCTCTCAGGCTTTGGCGAACGATGAAGTCGCCGCATTAGTTTCATGGGTTCACAGCTCAATCTCGCTACCGTCAGATTTCTCTGGGTGGAATCCTTCAGATCCCAACCCTTGTCAATGGCGGTTCGTCACTTGTTCCTCCGGCAACGTTGTCACAGAGATCAATGTCGTCTCTGTCCAGATAGCTTTACCTTTCCCTCCAAACATCTCCGTTTTCCACTCTCTTCAAAGACTCGTCATCTCCGGCGCCAATCTCACCGGAAGTATCTCCCCGGACATTGGGGACTGTACTTCACTTAGGGTTATTGATCTGAGTTCCAACGGTCTTGTCGGAGAAATCCCCTCCACCATTGGGAAGCTCAAGAATCTCCAAGACTTGGTTTTGAACTCGAATCGGATCACGGGCAAGATTCCAGCTGAGCTCGGAGACTGTATCAGCCTCAAGAATCTGTTGATATTTGATAATTACTTAACCGGGAATCTCCCGCCGGAGCTCGGGAATTTATGGAATCTTGAGAGCATCAGAGCAGGAGGGAATGTGGAACTTTCCGGAAAGATTCCAGAGGAGATCGGAAATTGTCGGAATCTGAAGGTTTTAGGCCTTGCAGCTACGGAGATTTCTGGTTCTTTACCTTCCTCTTTAGGTAAACTCAACAAGCTTCAAACTATATCTGTATACACAGCTAAGCTCTCTGGTGAAATCCCGAGAGAACTCGGAAATTGCTTGGCTTTGATTGATTTGTTTCTGTACGAAAACGAGCTGTCGGGTTCACTTCCACGAGAACTGGGTCAGCTTCAGAACTTGGAGAAGATGCTGCTATGGCAGAACAATCTTCATGGTCCTATCCCTGAGGAGATTGGATATATGAAAAGCTTGAATGCCCTCGATCTCTCGTTGAACTATTTCTCAGGAACGATTCCTCGATCGTTCGGTAACTTATCGAATCTCCAAGAACTGATGCTTAGCAACAACAACATCTCGGGTTCGATACCTTCAGTTCTAAGCAACTGTACACGCCTCGTGCAGTTGCAGGTCGATGCTAATCAGATTTCGGGTACGATTCCGCCAGAGATTGGTCTGCTCAAGGAGCTTAACACCTTCTTCGGATGGCAGAACAAGCTCGAAGGAAGCATTCCGACAGAGTTGGGAGGTTGTCAGAATCTGCAAGCTATGGACTTGTCTCAAAACTCTCTTACCGGAAGCTTACCTCCCGGATTGTTTCAGCTTCGAAATCTGACAAAGATTTTGCTCATCTCAAATGACATTTCTGGTGTCATCCCTTCTGAGATCGGCAACTGCACATCTCTTGTCAGATTAAGGCTCGTCAATAACAGATTAAGCGGAGAAATCCCGAAAGAAATAGGGTTTCTCCAAAACCTTAGCTTCCTAGACCTGTCTGAAAACAACCTTTTCGGTACAGTTCCTGAGGAGATAGGCAATTGCAGACAGCTACAGATGCTGAACTTGAGCAACAACACTCTTCGAGGTTCGCTTCCCGCCTCTTTATCTTCTCTGACAAAGCTTCAAGTGCTCGATGTTTCTGCAAATGGGTTCACCGGTAAGATTCCAGAGAATCTCGGGCAGCTCGTTTCGCTCAACAGGCTCATACTTAGCAAGAACTCCTTCTCCGGATCAATCCCTTCATCTCTCGGCCACTGCTCGAATCTTCAGCTTCTTGATCTCAGCAGTAATAACCTCTCAGGAACCATACCGGAAGAGCTCTTCGACATCGAAGATCTAGACATCGCCCTCAATCTGAGTTGGAACTCGTTAGACGGATTCATCCCGCTTAGGGTTTCAGCACTTAACAAGCTATCCTTGCTAGACCTTTCACACAACATGCTTTCGGGTGATCTTTTTGCGTTATCCAGCCTCGAAAATCTGGTGTCTCTGAACATCTCTTACAACAGATTCTCGGGGTATCTTCCAGACAGCAAGTTGTTCAGACAGTTATCAGCAGCAGAGATCGAAGGAAACCGTGGACTCTGTCCCAGAGGATTCAGGTCATGTTACTTCAGCAATGGCACGAAGTTGAATATGCAGCGAAATACAAGTTTCGTTCGTTCTCAGAGAATCAAGATTGCCTTAGGGCTTTTGATCAGCTTGACTGTAGTTCTTGCTGTATTGGGAATCTTGGCGGTAATAAGGGCAAGACAAATGATTCGTAATGATAATGAATCGGAGATTGGAGGAGATCTCTGGACATGGCAGTTCACTCCATTCCAGAAGCTCACTTTCAGTGTTGAACATGTGCTGAAGTGTCTGATAGAGAGCAATGTCATAGGAAAAGGTTGCTCGGGGATAGTTTACCGAGCAGAAATGCCGAATGGAGAAGTCATCGCCGTAAAGAAGCTTTGGCCGACGACAGTTGCCACGAGATACGATATCCAGACTGAGAAAACTCGGAATTCGGGAGTTCGGGATTCGTTCTCGGCCGAGGTGAAAACTCTCGGGTCCATCAGACACAAGAACATCGTCCGGTTCCTAGGATGCTGTTGGAACCGAAACACGAGACTTCTCATGTACGATTACATGTCGAACGGAAGTTTAGGCAGTCTGCTTCACGAGAGGAGCTGTATCTGCAGCTTAGGATGGGAGCTTCGATATCGGATTATCCTCGGCTCGGCTCAGGGTTTGGCTTACTTGCACCATGACTGTGTTCCTCCGATCGTTCACCGAGACATCAAGGCCAACAATATACTGATCGGTCCCGATTTCGAACCTTATATCGCGGATTTCGGGCTTGCCAAGCTTGTCGATGATGGAGATTTCGCTCGTTCTTCCAACACTGTTGCCGGCTCCTACGGCTACATAGCTCCAGGTTGGTTTCATTTCTTACCAAAACATAAAGAATGGCTTCTCCGTTAGGAATTTGTCTGAAAATGTCGAGTTATATCAGAAATCTTTCCGAAGTCCGAACCTTTAGCAGATTCTTGAACAAGCCCATTCATGGAAAAAACATTACATGTTCTCATAACCCGGGTTTTTCCGCGTTGCAGAATACGGATATTCACTGAAAATAACCGAGAAAAGCGACGTATACAGCTACGGAGTCGTGGTTCTTGAAGTACTAACAGGGAAGCAACCGATAGATCCGACCATACCAGAAGGTCTCCACATTGTGGATTGGGTCAAAAAAATCAGAGGAGTCGAAGTTCTGGAAAAGGGTTTGCAGTCAAAGCCCGAACCAGAGATCGAAGAAATGTTGCAGACACTCGGCGTTGCGCTCCTCTGCGTGAACCCTTCGCCTGAAGGCAGGCCCACGATGAAGGACGTGGCCGTAATGCTCTATGAGATTCGGCAAGATCGGGACGAGACCTCGAAGATCGGAACGGGAATCGACGAGAGTATTTGCTCAGGGAGCTGTAACGCTGACGATAAACGGCGAGAACAGAAGGATCCAGCATCATCTGTGACGAAGAAATCGGTTGCTTACGCGACAAGTAACAGCAATAGTTTCTCGGCTTCTTCGTTGATATACTCTTCTTCTTCCTCTGTTGCAAAGCCGGGCCTCAAATTGATGAGAGCGAGGGGAAGTTTCCCAGATCGAAAAATTCGGTATTTGTTCAAAACGTAATTTTTAGAAACCAATAAAAATAATTATGATGTTTTTATTTATATATAATATTTTTTTAATCTAATATTTATTTTGGTACCGTGCGTCTCCATTATTTGCGATATTTTTATTTTTATAAAATACATCATATTTTAAAAAAAAAGGTTATAAAATGATGAAAAACTGATGGTCTCGGTCTCGGTCTCGGTCTCATGGCTCTGTTACAATTACAAACCCTAATTTTGAGGGAAGATTTATGGGCCCATTGACATATAATAACAAAGGAAAACTGAACGATAGCACACCATATATAACAAAAAAAAAGGAGCTATATATGTGTTTTTGTTATTATAAAATGCCAATGTATCAATGGGAATATATTATATAAAAGCAATATTATTATATAATCGGATTTTAAAGTCTTTAATTAATTAAAGATGATAGAGAAGAAGGGGATAGGGAATGGACAACATTGCAGCAGCATTGGGATCCGACGCAAACTCCTCCCTTGCCAAAGTGGAACTTGGAGTTGCATGAGTCCGAGCACTTCCTCGAGCACGGTCCGATGCACGCCACTGTGACCGGACCCAACGCACTTGCTTGACCTGCAAGCAACCATCCCCACGCATTTTACACACTCTCTCTCTCTCTCTCTCTTCATCAATATTCACACACACTGACACACACACACACACACACATATATATATATATATATATAGGCTCAACATTAATAAAACTATATCCCATCCGAATATATAACACGTATTCGTTTTCAAATCTAATCAAACTCAAATAAAACTCCAACAAAACCAAATCCAATATAAATATCGAGCCGATATAATTTTTCTAAAATAAAGAAAAACGAATGGGGAAATAATTGAAACGAAAACAAATCATATATCGGAAACCCTAATAATTAGTAAATTAATAAATTTTTTTACAGTAATCAAAGAGGAAAATATGAGGAGAGGAGATGAATTACATGAGATAAGCGCCATGACAATGAGAGCGACCATCGCGACTGAAGTCTTGGACATTTTATTTTTTGGAGATCTAAGCTCAAAACTACTTCTCTCTGTTTATATATATATATATATATATATATATTGCGATTTTGGAGTCTTTGTGAATATTATGTATCTCTCTATATATATGTCTCCTATACACACACAGGGAAATATGTATATGCTATTATATATGTGACTTTCCAAAAACAATTGCTTTTTATATAGATATGATATTATTGTATGTTGTGTAAGTTATTTATATTTCCTCATTGATTGTTAGATTTTTCCAATAATAAGAAACAGTATGATGCACTGTACATATTCTTTTTTAAAATAAGAAATTTAAAGTTTGTAAATCACCTCGTTAATATAAGAGAAAATCCCATAAAAACTATAAATTAAAAAAAAATGAAATAAATATTTGTACAAAAAACGATATATAAGTATTTGTATCTGTTCAAAATATCAGAAAAATAACTGAATTTACCAAAGTGGTACCAAATCAGGAATGAATGGTGAGACATTGTGCACATCACCAAAAATGCCACATCATCAAAATCTTACCATGTCAACAAAATTTTTAAAAAAATAAAAGGAATTAAAAATATACACATGCATATTTAGATTTTGTTTAAATTATATTTTTATTAAATAATTTCCATTTTGATTCGATCTTCTCCCGTTGCTTCATGTCCAAATTAAATTCTAATTGAATTCGATAATTTATTTTAAAATAATGATATCGAGTTGATTTTTACATTAGACCTATTTATATTTTGTTTTGATTCATTTTTTTTTCTTATTCAACCTAAATTTTCACTTCATCCCTTATAAATATAAATAAGGGGACTTGAAAATTATATTTACCTTTCAAATAATAGTAATTTATTCATTTTTTAAAGCTTTATATATATGGTTGAATAATGATTGATGAAGGGAACATAATAAAGCGAATGGTCTCAATATATAGACCCATGTAAATAAAAGCTTTTGCGTGCAAATCAAACCAATGGGCCTTTTCACTCTTCAATTCTGATTTACTTATTTCATTTTGAAATATAAATTCATTAATTTTTTTTATAATCCGAAAGTTAATCAAAGGTTTCCATATCTAAAATCTTTATGTTTTTATTTATAATTATTTCTCCCATAATGTATAAGTGCAAGAAAAACTTTTAAACCGTAATCCATGACAATAGAAGGACTCAAATTATATATTTAAATTTAAAAACAAGTTATAACTATAAAACTTTTAAATTTTCAATGGTACATATGTGATATGATATTATGTAGATGAAAATAATAAATTCTATTGATATTAACATTGAAGTATGGATTTTAGTGAATTGAAAAACACTTGATAGTTTAATACGTTTTTAGACAATTTAAAATAAGTTTGTAATAATTTTTATTTTTTCGAACAAAAAAAATAAGTTTATTAATAATTTAATATGGTACAGTCAAAATCTTTTATTCCTTCTCCGCCTAAAAAGATATATTTTGCCTTCCCCGAGTGAAGCTGTCGAGAACCAAAAGTGTTCACTTTTTGCATCGCTTTTAACTTTTTTTTTTTAATATATATATATACATATATATATATATATATATATATATGTATGTATGTAGATTGAAAATAAGATTGGAAGTAGCACAATGACATTATATACCCAATATTCCACAGAAAAACAAAGATTTTGTGGATTAAAAATTTCAATTTGTTCAAGCTTTCTTACTCTTTAATTAGCAAATCATAAAAAACCAGATTATAACACTTTAAATACAAACATTTATTTTATCCCAAGTTTCTGTTACAAATATAATATTTGAAGTTAGTGTGAATTTGGTTATGGGTAGCATCTTCTTTTCAAGTCTACGGTTGGTTAAAATTCTACTATAATATTAGAGTGTTTATATGGGGCATTATCAAAAATACCCTTAAAATGCTACTTCTACTTCAAGACCTACCCTGGTCACATGTAATCAATGTGACCGAAATATAGTATGGTCACATTTTGATTTTTATCGATTATAACGTTAAATTTATGGTGATCACACTAATTCATTATGTTCATATCTTGTATATCTTACTAATCATTTGATTAAAACATCATAAATTTAACGTTATAATCGATAAAAATCAAAATGTGACCATACTATGTTTCGGTCACATTGGTCACATGGTCACAAGGGTAGGTGTTGAAGTAGAAGTAGCATTTTAAGGGTATTTTTGATATAATGCCTGTTTATATAATACAAACTGTCTATACAAAATGCCATTATATCAAAAATACATTTATTTTGATATTACTACTTCAACACATACCCTTTTTCACCTGTGATCATGTGACCCATTTGATCCAAAATATAGTATGGTCACATGTTGATTTTATTGATTATAATGTTAAATTTATGGTGATCTCAGTAATTCATTATATTCATATCTTGTATATCTTACTAATTATTTGATTAAAACATCATAAATTTAACGTTACGAACAATGACATCAACATGTGACCATACTATATTTTGGATCAAATGGTCACATCTGGAGAAGGTATGTGTTGAAGTATGAATAGTAAAGTTGGTGTATTTTTTATAATGGCCCCATACAAAATTACGTTTACAATGATCAAAATTAAATAATTAATTTTTTATATGCATCTAAATATATATATGGTTTGTTGATGTTCAAAGAATCAATGATTGGCATATACATATAAAATTATAAAGTGCGAGATTTGAAGATATTTCTTTGCGAAGAAAGGCGTCGCTACAGCTTGTACGTCTATGTACTTGAGGACTCGGTTCGTGCTCCTTTGCCATTTAGCTATTTTTTTTTTAAAAATATTTTGTGAAAAAAAAACAAAATTAAATAATTTTTTTTTGGTAAAATTAAATAAATTTTCGAGTGGGAAAGGAATCGAATGTATCTAATATTAGGTGGAATATAACAAAGTGGATCTATAAATTCTAATAATTTTAATTTTTTTATTACTTTTCGTTCATTCAATAGTGGAATAAGAGTAGATGTTGAATAGAATACAGACCATCAACACAAATTAATAGCCGGGAATTATTAACTCTAATATATATATATATTAAAAATTGAAATCACATGATTTATTGATATGGATATATAGTCATATTTTGTTATTTTATTTAAATTATGCATTCTAATCCTTAAATTACAATTTCAAAGAAATTTATTTATATTTAAAAAATATGTTTGAAGCGTCACAAAAACTCTATATGCCATCTGTTATATATATATATATATATATATATATATATATGCCATCTATTATAGTTTAACACTTTTATCATTTATATATGCCATCTATTCCATGTCCGAAAGATTATAGTTTAACATTTTTATCATTTAAAAAACAATCATAATATATACACATATATATGCCATCTATTTTAGTATTATTATTATTATTATTAAAAAAAGAAAGGGAAAGTAAAAAAAGGAAATAAAGTACATAGAAGGCACAAGTTAAAAAAAAATAAAACAAAGGACATGAAGTTCCCAGATTGCAAGAAGGGTCTATGGATACTTAACCACCAAGCAGTGCCTTCAAGCTGTCTTAAAGTTTCGGACACCCCCAACCTTATATTTATTTATCTAATAATATATAATATAAGCTACAAAAGCATATATATATATATATATATATACACACACACACAATTTATTCCATTAATTTGTATTTTTCGAATTTGTTGATACTCTGAGCATTTATTCGTATTTACACAGTTTTTTCTTCTAAAGCACAAGAGGGATAACAAAGTTAACGAGAATGCGAAACGAAATGAAAAATGAAAACAAAAATGATTAATTTTAGAACTTACATATAATTGTTATTTTCACTTAGTTTACATTTTTTTTTTTTTGGAAAAAGAAACCATCTTAAATTTTGATTCATCTTATATTTAAATTCATTATATGTTATAGTCAGATTACTAATTCGATATATTATGAGAATATAAATTTTGAGAAATATTTTTATCCTGAATGTTTTACTTTATTAACTTTTTTAGGTTGAGAAGCATACACAATGGTGTTTTGTTTAAATATCATAGGATATAAAAGATTTAAATAATGGATTAATTACTATACTATTCAATTAAAAGTCTAAAAGCCATCTATATATAAGAATCCACAGTCTAATTCCATTTTATGACCGAAACTATGTCTAATTTTTAATTATTCGGCTTGGATGAATGAACCATGGCGACTACAACATAATAATCTTTTGTAACATTTTTCATTTGTCTCGTTAGTTTTATTTTCATTTTATAACTATAATAAAATAAGTAATAGCTATATTTTGTAATGGAATAATTTAATGTAGTTTTTTTTAATTAATTACTTTCCATCTGTGTAAATTACCTCGAGAATAAACTTCCCCTGTACATGCAAAATCCTTTATTGTTCTTGGCATCTTGGACTAAACAAATTGCTATATATTACAATCCATGCAAGATAAATTATATACGAAGCTATATATATATCTGGTTCGGCCATTGAACGTGATAAACGAATGTGTCAATATTACATTTCCGTATATTAACTCAAAACTAATTAATTTCTTCAATTAGTGTTTATATTAATTTGTATTTATCGAGTTTAGCGAGAGAACCGAACAAATTAAAACACAAAATATTTAAACGGATTTGATGAAATCCGAATACGATTTCGGTATTTGTTAGGATTCGATTTTTTTTTATTTGGTCCGACTCCATACAAAAAGGTTATATGCAACATAATCGTAGATTTACGTAAGTTATAATACATGGGCTAAAATTTCAGAACAAATATATATAATCCTTTGAACTTATTGAGATCGCACACATATAAAATTAAAAACCCTAAAAACAATATATAGATTCGTCTACCGATAATAGCCAAACAATTACAACCGTAGAAGAAGAAGGGTTCAACTATTTTGCTCATAATATCATCAACCACGGCTCTCGTGGAACCTTCGGATGAAGTCAGAGGCTCTCCGGTTAATGGCGGGCTCGACCACGTACCAGTTGTAGAAATTGGCCTCGTAGTCTTCGGCTCCTCCAACGCCGTAAGGTCCGTCGTCTTCAGCCGCGGATCCGTTCGATCTCCGCCGCCGATGAAACCATATCTTGAAGCAGTCGAAGAAGCTGAACAGGCATTTCCACGATCCACCACTCCCCATATCCTTACAAACTTTATAAAGATCAAAGTGTATATATATATGTGTGTGTGTGTGTGTGTAAAGACGTGTGTATATATGTATGTGTTTTGTCTGGGTTAGGGTTCAAAACTCAAGTGTCAAGCCTTCTCTTTATATATTGCGGGCAAAGCTGAAACCTCGAGGGAACCATGCACGAAACGCCCCACCAACCCAAAAACATACTTTTAATTTTTGTAAAACTTTTTTTTTTTTTTTAAAAAGTGCTTTTGTAGGCGAGGCTTATGTATAACACTTTATATATATATATATATATATATTCTTTTGATGGCTTTTTCACATGACAAACACAAATTAAAAACTATCTTCCCCCCCCCCCCGCCGATGAAACCATATCTTGAAGCAGTCGAAGAAGCTGAACAGGCATTTCCACGATCCACCACTCCCCATATCCTTACAAACTTTATAAAGATCAAAGTGTATATATATATGTGTGTGTGTGTGTGTGTAAAGACGTGTGTATATATGTATGTGTTTTGTCTGGGTTAGGGTTCAAAACTCAAGTGTCAAGCCTTCTCTTTATATATTGCGGGCAAAGCTGAAACCTCGAGGGAACCATGCACGAAACGCCCCACCAACCCAAAAACATACTTTTAATTTTTGTAAAACTTTTTTTTTTTTTTTAAAAAGTGCTTTTGTAGGCGAGGCTTATGTATAACACTTTATATATATATATATATATATATTCTTTTGATGGCTTTTTCACATGACAAACACAAATTAAAAACTATCTTTGTGTCAGTAATTATTATTTATTACTCCCTTTCAAAATAAATGTAGTTATACAAAATGTTATTTTTGTTACTAAATAGTTAACGTTTTAGATTTTAAAAAGAAAAATTATAATTTTATCTTCAATTAAAAACATTAAACTTTAATAAAATATTGATAGGGATGTGATTTAATAAAGATATATATAATTTTTTTATATATTTAAAAATCTTGAAAAAAATATATAACTACATTCTTTCATAAACGGACTATACCCTCCGTTTCTCAATAATTGACGTTTTAAATTTTTAAGAAACTATAAAAAAAATCATATATATCCTCGTTAAATTATATCTCATTAATACTCTATTTCATTAAATTCGAAGTTAAATTTGGAACTTTTTAAAAAAAAATCTAGAACCACATCTATTAAGTAACAAAATATATCCTCTTAAACATCATCTATTAACAAACGGAGGGAGTGTTTAAATTAACAACAACATTAATTACGTTCCAGCGTTTATATATATCCCTATGACTTTCTTTGAAGGAACTAACTAATATGGTTAGTTAATTAATGTGTGTATATATATATATATGAATTATCATTTACAGAATAAAATATAAATACACTAAATATTACAAACTGTTCAAAAAATTAAAAAAAATACCCTTCATATTATACAAAATTTGGATTCGGGTGTTATAAATGCAAAATATTCGAATATTTTTTCTATATAAATCTACTGAGGGGACGACTGGTTGCACCGCCACTACCGCAAATAGAGCGGTTGCGATTTCCGGCGGTAGCAGGCGATTGAAAAACTGACTGGTTGAACCGCAACCACCCGCAATCGCATCCAAACTTGTGTTTTCTAATCGCAACATCTAACTTGCGTTTTGGTAGCGGTTTCCGGCGTTTTGACAAAAAAACTAAAATATCCTCATTAAAAATTATATAAAACTCTAATATATATATATATATGTATGATAATTTTGTTTAGTGTTATGATTTGATATTATTTTTTAGTATTATATTTTAATAAAAAAATA